AGGTGCTGGTTCCTGATGGCCCTGCACAGGTTGCCCAGAGAAGCTGTGGCTGCCCCATCCCTGGAAGTGTCCAAGGCCAGGCTGGACAGGGCTTGGAGCAACCTGGGCTAGTGGAAGGTGTCCCTGCCCATGGCAGGGGTGGGACTGGCTGAGCTTTTAAGGTCCCTTCCAACCCAAACCTTTCCATGATTCCATGAAAACAAGTGGGATAGAAGTGAGGAGACTTCACTTGGAGACAGTTCTGTCTCCTCTGGTCCAGGGAGATCCCAGGATGCTGGAGTTACTTGTTACAGCAACCTGGCACAGCAGGCAAACAACATGTGTTCCTTCTGATTCCCAATCCAGGGCCAGCACCGGGATTGGGTTCATTTTGATGCCTCTCCTTGGCTTTGGCAGCATTTTGGTGGGAGGTGAGGGGAAAGAGGTGCTGCTTCCAGACCCCACAGCCCTTGTTCTTTCCTGCCAGCACGACTGGAGGGGCTGACACTGCCCAGACCACCCAGGCTGGGAGAAAACCAGTTCAGGAAGGATCAGTTTGGCTTTAAACTGGTTTTTGACTGGAGTGGTGCTGGTTTTGACTGGAGGGGAAGCAGGACATCAGAGGGATGTGAGACTTGTGAGCTGGTTTCTGTGCAGGGCCCAGCCCCAGCAAGCCTGGCGTGGCTACATTTGCTATAATAAGCATAAATCCAATTAATCCTCGTGCCTGGCCAGGGAGCAGTGGTGGGCTCTGCCAGCCTCTCTCAGGTTGAGGTCAGCCCTGCTGCAGCTTCCCTCGGAGCCATCAGCATCCATGAGGCATCTCCTCCTTGCCACAGAGATATCCAGGGCACTGATGGGTTCCAAAAGTGGATTTGACTGACTGAGAATTATAAAGCCAGAATAGAATAAGTTGTTTGCTACAAATCCTGCTTGACTAGACTGGGAGCAAGCCCTGGGCAAACCTCTGGTCCCAGGGCTGAGCTTTGATTGGAACTACCACACCAGGAGCTGCAGGACAGATTTGCTTCCCTAACCTCCTTGCCACCAAAGCCTCTGGATTAAAGCTTCTGCCTCTGGTCCATTTTGGTACATTTTACTTTGGTTTTGCCTTATTGATCATCCATTTAATAAGATGGGGTCACTCCCAGATCTGACAGCGCTGCAACACAGAATCTTATTTCTAATCAGGGAATCACAGAATGGTTTGGGTTGGAAGGGACCTTAAAGATCCTCTCATTCCAACCCCTTGCCACGGGCAGGGACACCTTCCACTGTCCCAGGTTGCTCCAACCTGGCCTTGGACACTTCCAGGGATGGGCAGCCACAGCTTCACTAGGAAACCTATTCCAGTGCCTCAGCACCCTCACCTAGTGCTCCTTACAGCCCTGGAAGGGGGAGAGAAGAGATGGGATCCCTCCTCTGAGCGGGAGCAGGGCTCCAGGGGTGCAGTCAGCTCATCCAGCCCCAGCTCAGCTGTGTCTCCAGGGTCTCCTTCCTGCCCAAATCTCCACTCTTGCCACTCTGCTGTTGCTGGCAGAGGCTGCTGCCTTCCCTGCAGTGCTGGTGCCAGGTCAGGGGTGCCCCAGCCCCCAGCTGCCTGCCAGGGCCCCCCCGGGCTGCCTGGGTGTGAATGCACATCCTCTCCAGGCTGCCTTGGCACGGGCACAGTGACACAGGCAGGCCATGAGGAGCTGCTCAGCTCTGAGATCCCAGCACAGAGCTGTTCTCCCTGGTGAATGGCCTGGCTCCCCAGCCAGGATTATGTGTCTGAACAAGCCCTCAGCTCGGGAGCAGCTGTTTTCCAGCTTCTGCCTAACAAAGAAAACTTTTATGGCTACAGAAAAAGAACAGGACTCGGGTTTTCTGCAGCAGCCATCTGATCTGAGAGCAGCAGGGCTTTAGGAACCCGCTGAGGGGCTGAGCTGCTCCTCATGTGTGTGGTCACTCACACCCTGCCACCATCCCGGGCTGGGACCTGCCGGCTCAGCACCACCCACACCACAGGATTGCACCCACGGGCAAGAACAGGCAGTGCCTTCCCCTTGGCACCGGGTGCATCTCTCTCCCTGCCTGCCTTAGAACCCTTCCAGGCTTTCCCACCGACCTGGACATTGCACCACGAGCTGCCTCTGCTGTCCAAGGACCAGGAGCCCAGCCCACCCGGGGCTCTGAGCTTTGCTTTCTCACGGTGGGCTCACGTCCTTCCCCTTGCAGACTCCCTCCTCTCCTCTTCCCTCTGCCTCTCCCCCATTTCCCAGATGAAGAACCACAGAGAACAGACAGTCTGCAAGTGCCTGAGTCAGAGGAGCCTAATGGATGAGGCGGCAATTCACCGAGAGAGCACTTTGTTTAATTGAAAGGCTCTGCCTGTTGCTGCCAAAGGGGAGCCAGAATGTGGTTCCCCTGACAGGTCCTAAGTAGCTGACAGGATAGATGGAGGCTCAGGCCCCCAGCCCTGCTGTGTTCAGCTCCTTGGCTCTCCTCCTGCTCCCTGCAGCAAGCTGAGTGGCCCTGGCAGGACGGTGGCACCTTGGCAGGACGGTGGTACCTTGCCAAGGAGGTGGTACCTTGCCAGGGTGTCTCTCAGCACAGCAGTGCAATCAGGAGGCAGATTTGTGCCCTGCCAAGGAGGATTTGACTGCTCCCCCTTGGGGGCAGCAGCTTATGGGGCGTGAAGGAGGCTGTGTCCTGGTTTTGCCCACTTTCTGCACCTCGGGCTGGATTAGCAAAGGAGGTCAGAGGGGAAAAGCATCTTCACGGAATTGTGGGATGGTTTGGGTCGGGAGGGACCTCTAGAGGTCATCCTTAAGGGCTCCTCCTGGACTGAATTAAGGGAGAGGCTTAGAAGGATGATAGACGTGTGTAATATTGTATATATATAGTTACTTTTAGCTTGTACAGTATTTACTTTGTGTAGAATAAATGTATATATCTCCCCTTCCCTTTCCCCCTACAGAGGTGTGTCTGCCTGAAAGTTTCTCTTCAGTGTTGAGGTAAAATTGTGGGAAAGGGTGAGGGAAGCCTGGAAGTTGGATTTTGGATTTTTGTGGTGGTTCAAACCACCACATAGTGCCACCCCCCTGCAATGAGATTTTTCCCTCTGATTTTTCTCTCTCCCTCTCTTTGTCACTTTTTGTCGACACCAGGCCTTTTCTTCGGGCTCAGCACTTTGCAGGGCATCCAGCTGACAGATCCAGGGAAAGGAGGATTCTGTGGAGTCCATTTGGGCAGGGGCACTCAGAGGGCAGGCTGCCCCCCTCCATCCAGCCTCTTTAACCACACTGCTGGGCACAGCTGGACCTTCAGCTGGCAATTCCTTGGCAGTGCACTCCAGGTGCTTTGCCTGAGGGCTCAAAGCCTGGGCTGCCCCATCCCTGGGGAGGGAGGATCCTCACCAACACTCCACTCATTCCCCGGCCAGGAGGCTGAAAGCAGCCTCAGCTCCTGCTCTCCTGGCCCCTCTCCTTGCATGACCTGAGCTGGGAGTGTGTCCCCACATCTTCAGTGCCCTCCCTCCTGCCCTGATGGACCACCAGGACTCACACAAAGCTCCAGCCTCCGTGGGACAGCATTCCCTGCAGTTTGCACCGGGAAAAGGTGGGATTTAGAAGGGCAGTGACTTCCCCCAGGGGCTGGGTGCCCTGCCCTGCCTCAGCAGCATCCCTTTGCTGTGCTGTGCTGGGGAAGAGCAGGCAGGAAGAGGTTAACTCAGCCCGGTCCCTGCTCTGTGTGTGTGCAGAATAATGAATGCAGAGGAGAGCTTTGGGGAGATTCAGTGAGAAGCAGCTTCTCCCCAGTGCTGGCTTCTCTCAGCTTGGCACCAGGAGGATGAAATATTTCCTGGTCACTCTGTGTGTGTGACTCAGAAATTGACTTTCAGATGGAAGAAATCTTTTAAGAGCCCAGAGTTTCAATGTCTTTTCTTTTTTTATTCCTTCTCTCTCTCTTTTTTTTTTTTTTTTTTTTTTTTTTGTGCCCACACTAATGGCAAGAGCAGCAGCTGCATTAAGTGTTTTGGATAAAATTCAACACAAAAGCCTCTATCTCCTGCGGAGTTTGGTCCAATAAATCCTGCTTTAAGTATGAAATGGGTTTAGGGGAGTGTGAAACCACAATTGGGGAGGGCTGGGTGCCTCTGTGCCCGCTGCCTCAGCGGGCACCACGCAGCCCTTTTGGCACAGGAGCTCAGGGAAGAGGAGCTGGGCAGAGGCTTCAGCAGCTTTGCAGGGGTTGCCAAGGGCCCTCGGAGGGACTGTTAAAACCTTGGCTCCTTGCTTCTCCAAAAAAAAAGAAAAAAAAAATTAAAAAAAAGCAGGAGAAAGGAAAAAGCTGGATCCCTGCATGCCCTGAATCTTAATCTCTTCCCTTTCAGCTCGAGTCCTGCTTCCCAGCACCATCCATGTTTTCCATTAAGGAGAAAGCTGTGGCATTTGCCAGTGCCAGGGATGGTGGCTCAAAGCCTGCTGCCCATCTCTCCTGCAGCCCTTGGCCCCCTGGCACCCCCCAAATTCTGAGGGCAGCGTGTTCCACAGGGCAGGGGGTGCCACTGGTAGGAAGTGGCACAGCCCTGGCTGTGGGAGCTCGCAAATTCCTGTTGTTTTAAAGAGCTTGTGGCAGAAGGAAACGGGATCTAGGTTGCCCAGAGAAGCTGTGGATGCCCCTGGATCCCTGGAAGTGTCCAAGGTCAGGTTGGACAGGGCTTGGAGCAACCTGGGCTAGTGGAAGGTGTCCCTGCCCAGGGCAGGGGGTAGAACAAGAAGAACTTTCCAAACCATCCCATGATTCTATATTTCTCTCTGACAAAAAGAACAGGGATGGGTCGTCAGCACCACGTGTTTCCTGTAATAGAGTTTGAACCAAATTTGACGTGGGGAGACCTCTGATCTCAGAGACAGCAACATCCCCCAAGTTGCCTTGACACAGGGAGGGGACATCTGGGGAAAAAATGGGCCTTTCCAGGTGGGAAATCTAAACCAAAATAGCTGACGACAAACTGGGGCAGCCCAGGGAGCCCCATGATGGGAAGTGATGAGATGAGAGCAGAGCCTGGGTACATCCAGCTCGAGCTGGGCAAAACCCCCAGCATCCCTTATGTAAGAACACGTGTCTCTGGGGTCAAAAATTACCTGGCATCTAAAGCAGGAAAGGCTCTCTGTGTCCTACTCAGAATATTCTTCAGCCCCACACTGCTCTAGCTGTGCCTTTCATGTCAAACCCCACCACCAGTGTCCAGGAGCCCAGGCCCTCTCTCTTGTCACCCTCCCAGCACTTGGAGAGCTGAAATTTTTTGCTGTATGGGGGATGAAAAAATCGCTTTGGTTGCACTTTCTCTCCAGCTAATCCAATTTGTCTCCTTACTGCTTTCAAATGCCTTTTAAGGATTCCCAGCAATGTATTAGAGAAATCCATTTGCCGAGATGCAGCGAGAGGGGGGGATTGAGGGGGGTGGGCATTTTTATTTTACAGTTATTAGTGGGCGACAAGGTAAAGTAACTCGGGGAAGATTGATCACCCAGCTAAGCATTTTTACTTTCTCAATTAATCCTGGCATGATTGTAATAAATCCAGGAGTGGGAGTAATTAGATGTGAACGGACCTCACTTCCTTTTGCTGCTGCGTGTCAGGGGTAATGGATAGAGACATCTTTCTCCTGGAAGTGGCCTAGGGAGACGTCCAGTTAGATGGGATTTCTGGAAAGAGAGATAGATGTCAGGGGCCAGTGTTCACTTTTTCCCTCAATGGAGAACAGATTTATGCTATCAATCCACATTAAGAAGCCTTCATGGCTACACAGAAATCCAGCAAGAGTAATTCAATTAGCCCCGTGCACTTTTTCAGATGGGATTTGATAATGGGGGATCATTTGCCCCGAAGTTCACGCTGAATTTTCTTTCTGCTTCTTTCCTTTTTATTTCCTTTTTACTTTTTCCTTTTTTTTTTTTTTTGATTAAAAGAGTCATTGTGGTTCACTGGGTGCTTTTGTCCCCAAGTTGAGGGGTTGCTAGGTTAAGTCCTAAACCATGCTGGAGGTTCATGGCCACTACAAGGCAGCGAGGTGGCACCTATATGAGTGTGTGTCGCTCTGATCTGCTGGATATGGACACAAAAAACCCTCTTCCCTGCCTGACTGCAACCCTTCATCTCATGCCATCCTAGACCAGGCTGAATTCCTCCTACCCTGTTATTACAGCACATAACACTCAGTGGTTTTGGGGTTTTTATGCTCAGACTCCTGGAGTCACGTGAACATGTGCAAATTCAGCATAATTTCCTGCTTTTAAAGCTGAGGGTTTAGGATCACGCTGTGGAGAAGAGCTTGGATGCCAGCAGCTCCTAAATCTTGGGGCAAAACTGACATTTCAGAAGATTAGCTTTACATTTTTAAGGCCGATTCGGGGAGGAAGAATTGAATTTGTGTCCGGAGGATGTGACAGATCCCCACGTGCTCCTTGTTTTCCCCCTTAACTAAGGGGAAAGGGCTTTGCAGGTCACCAGTCACTGATCCAATGGGTCCTGTCCCTCACCCCTGCAGGGGGACAGCAGCTCTCTGTCACTCCACTTGGATGCTGCATCGTGGCCAAAGTGGGATGAGGCCTCTGCGTGTGGGTCCTCTGACAGGGAGCTGCTCCCACTGAGATCTCATTAATAGATTTACTTATTTGAAAGTCATTATACAGGCAGACAGCCTCATAGATGGAGGATCCCAGGGGCAACTTGTTAGCAGCTGCTCTGTAGCTACATCAAGAGGTTTTCTAACAGTACACAAAAGACATTTGACAATGTCAGAAACCACCGAGAGGGATTAACTTAAAAGAGAAAGGGAGGGAGGGGGGGGGAAGAAAAGCACATTAAAACATGTCTTGGAGCTTATCAGAGATGGAGCAGAAAAACCAGCCAGTGGGGTGTAGAGACAACCAGTGAGGGAACCAGGGGCCAGCCCAAGCAGGAATGGGGACAAGGTTTCTCACCCCTGGGGAAGCATTTCCGACCGGCGGCGGGGCCGGGTTTTGCTTGGCCAGGGTATTCACACAGGGCTTTTATTTGCTTTAAAGGCTTGGCTTGAAATCCTGTGGGTTTCCTGCTCTGACGTGTGTGTGCCACAGCAGTGTGAGGGATGGGCTCTGCTCTGGGCCCGGAATCCCAGAATAAAGAACGGTTTGGGATTGGAAGGGACTTTAAAGATCATCCAGTCCCACCCCTTGCCATGGGTAGGGGCAGGTTCCACTAGACCAGGTTGCTCCAAGCCCTGTCCAACCTGGCCTTGGACACTTCCAGTGCAGCCACAGCTTCTCTGGGCAACCTGCATCCCATTTTCATCAAGTTCCAAACCCTCAAAGGCAGAGGGATTTACTCCACAGTCACTGATACTGTGACTCTTGGATACCCCACCTGATACACCCTAAAGGATCTGCTCTCAGCAAGTGCCCACAGACACCAAGAGGAGCTGGAGGATGAAGGTATGACCCTTGTGACAGCCCTGGCTGAGAGCTGTGACAACAAACACCACGAAAGGGAAGTGCTTCAGGGTCAAAGAGTGGAGAGATGCTGCAGTAAAATGCTGAGTGCAGCAGGAGTGTCTGTGCAGCCCTTCTGGAGAGGCAAGAACTCGCAGTAAATGAGAGACCTTGGCAGGGTTGCTCAGCCCCAGCCTGAAAGAAGTTCATGAGCTGTTAAAATTAGAAAAAAAAAAAATCTTCAAAGGACTCCAAAAAAAAAAAAATAAAAAAAAAATTACAATCCTGCCGAAAATGTGACAGCTGCCACTGCTGGAGGGGAAAGCCCTGATGAGGAGAGAAGCCTGGCCCAGAAAGTTGACTTGAGATGTGTGAGAAATAACCCTGGACATCCCCCCAGAGCTGGGAGAAAAACAGGTGTCTGCAGGTCAGGGTGGCTCAGCTGAGCAGTGCCAGGCAGGGTCCCACAGCCCCAGGGGGTTTTGTGAAACCACCCGAGGGGGACAGTCACAGAGCACCCCCTCCCTCTCCTCTCCCCAAATTTTAGCCCTCCTTCCCCTTAAAAAAACCTTGGAATTTCCATCCAAACTCCTCACAGCAAACACTGTGTCGTTCCTTGTGGGTTTTGTAAGATATTTGGATTTTTTCAGAGCTGCCTCTAAAACAAGTTCAGGGGAGTTTTTGCGAGGGCCAGCACAAAGCCTGGGGTTCTGGGGTGGGTTTGCCAGTTGTAAGGTTTATTTGTTTTGTGCAATGATTTGCCAAAGAGTTTTCCCCAGTTTTCCCACAGAACCATCAGTTTCTTGGCCCGTTTCTCCTCTTATCAGTGTGAGGTGTGGGGATGTGCAGGTTGTCCCTAAAAAGGTGCTCACTACTTAATTTTTCAAATAACATGTAATTATTGTAATCCATTGGATTTGGTTTTGCTAACCTGTAATAAAAAAATATGGGACCATTACCCTTTTAACAAGCTTAGAATGTCATATTTTTTTCATTTTTCTCTTTTCCCAAAAATGCATACCTGATATGTTGTAGACACAAATTCTAGGTGCATTATTATGATTCTGTTGACTGTAATGACATAGAATTGAAAATAACATTTTTTTGTTTTTCATTGTTTAATTTATACAGAGGGCTTTTTCAGAGTTTGACAGAAGGAAATAATAGCTGCTCTCCCTCTCCTGCTTTCCTTTGGAAAACCCTTCTCTTTTTTGAACTCTATTAAACCTGCACGAGGAGATTGAGATCCCAGGCTGCTCGTGTCTCACCTCCCCCAAAAAAGCCTACAAGGCTGAGTAAGTCCACTCAAAGAACCCACCAGATTGGGGGCAAATACATCAAAAAAAAAAAAAAAAAGCAGCCTGTGAAATCCATTTTTCCCTTCACAGCTTTGAAAGCAGATGGTGGGGTGGGGCTAAAAGGAGAGAACTAACAAACAGAAAATAGTACAAACACAGTGTAAATAATTCTTCCCCTCTCCTCTCCTCAAAGTGCTGGAGCAGAGTGTCACAGCTGGTTTCTTCCAGCCCCGAGCTGAGGTTGTTCCTGTGATTTACAGTCGAGCAGCGCTCGAGGAATACAATAAAAATTAATAATTAAAACAGGGGGGAAAAAAAAATAATCTGCCAGGCAGCGTGAAATATTTTTAGCTGATTGCTGGAGTTTGTAGGAGCAGTGATGTAGTAATGGAGCCCTTTGTGAGGAACCTCCACGGGGCTGATTGCAGGGCCTGGGCTTGGCTTGGGATGGAGGGAGTCTTCCCACTGCAGCTCAGCCAGAAATCATGCTTTTTTGGGGAAGTTTTTTTGGTAAGAAAACGTGATGTTGTGTGTCCTGCTTCAGGTCGCTTTGCCCTGTGGCACCTTCTTGTCACAGGATGGTCCCTGAGGTTTTACAGGCAGCTTTGGGAGAGTTACACCCTGCCAGGTGAAGGCCTGAGTGCACTGTGGGCCACTTTCTTCTGAAAACCATCTCTCTGAAGCCCTCACCGAGGTGATAAAATAATTCATGCTCTGGAACAGGCAGCCTTCCTTCAGTGCTGAGCTGGGAACCCAGATTTATGGGGCAGGAATGGGAGCTTTGAGGGGAATGAGAGCTGGGAGAGGGCGTGGGGTTTACAAGAACAGCCCCAGCATTGAGACAAAGTCACCGTGGGAATGCCAAGTGCCTGGTTTAAGACAGAAAATGCACAGTTTGCCTTCTCTGTGAACCACCCAGCAGTTGGGATACCTCCAGGTTTATGTGATCTCTGGTGTTTCATCCTCCTCAGGGTAGAAGGTAGGCTTGGACAGCGTTTTGAGCACTCAGATTCATTTATTCCTATCTCGTAGCTAAATCCTGTTTCTGTTCCAGGGGAGACAAAAAGGATTGGCACATCCACAGTTGCAGGAGCAAACAGCACAAACAAGGCTGCTCAGAATTTAGGGCACGAGCAGGATGGGGATGCAGAGCTGCTGAGGGCAGGATGCTGCTGTGTGCTGAAACATGTTCATCAGGGAAGGACACAGGGGGCACATCATGTGTCATCCCTCTCCTGGCAGGGTGGCACTGGCGTGGTTAAACTTCACCCTGGGATTGGGAATTCACCCTGGGTCACAAACGGGACTTGTTTAGGGCCATCAAGTAAAACAGCCTTGTAAATCGCCTCTGGGGGCCGGCTAATTTATGGAGGGGAGAAACAATATCCCTCCCCTGGTGCCACTTAACTTTTCATTTTATATCTGCAGTAATTGCACGTGACATCTGGAAAAATTGCCGTCCAGTTCCCCGGGGAAAAGCCGGGGCGGGAGGTCACGGTGCTCCAGGGGCAGACACCCCCCATTCCCTGGAAGTGTTCAAGGCCAGGCTGGACGGGGCTTGGAGCAACCCGGGCTAGTGGAAGGTGTCCCTTGCCCGCTGGCACCGGGGTTGTGACTGGGTGATCTTTAAGGTCCTTCCAACCCAAACCATTCCGTGATCCCGCGATTCCATCATTGCACGGGAGGGTGGGTGGCTCTGTGGTCGGGGTACCCCCCGAGCCCCTCTCCCCGAGCCCCATCTCCCCCTGGGAACCCCGGGGAGCGGGTGATGGCCCAGGCGTGGGTGGCTCGGTTTGCCCCGGCATGGAGCGCTCGTCGCATCTCTCCGGAGCAGGACCAACCCCGCCTCAGTTTCCCCACGGGAAAACCGGGAGCATCCCTGGTGGCAGCCCCCAGGGGCGAAACAGGGGGGTGGAAACGCCGGGGTCCGACCCCCGCGGGGGAGGGGACCCCGGGACGGGGCTGGGCTCCAGCTGTCGCTCATACTGGGGGGGCAGCGGGGCCGGCTGCGGTCCCTACACCTTTAAAAGTCTCCTCACGTTGCGGCGCTGATTATCCATTAACCCGAGGCGAGCTCCCTTTTCCTGGGGGTGGCGTTCGCGGCAGCTCCGCAATAAGAGCTGGCAGCAGGGCGGGCGGACGCGCTGCCTTCCTCCCTTTCTCTCTCTCTCTCCCCCTCCCTCTCTCCTCTCCCCCCCTGCCCCCGCTCCCTTCCTTATCAGCAATTCAGATTGCATGCAAATCTGCGGGCTTTCTTACAGGGGCAAGGCAGAGAGGACCGAGCGCTGCTCGCCGGCCGCGGCTTCACGGAGAGATATCTCCTCCTCCTCCTCCTCCTCCTGGGATTTTCCTCCTTCTCCCCTCCCCTGCTCTCCCCTCCCCTCGCTGCCTCCCTCCCTCCTCTCTTTCTTTCCTCCTTTTCACCTCCTCGAACAAAAGTAGCCCTTCTCCCTGCGCCTGCGAGCGGGGCCGCTTTGTCTGCCCGCGCCGTCGGGGGACCGGGACCGGGCCGGCAGCGGAACCGCGACCGGGGCCAGGGGGCACAGCGGCGGACGGTGCCCGGCGCTGCTTGCGCTGCTGGGACTGGGATTAGGACTGGGACTGGCGACCTGCCCCGAGCGGGAGCTGGAGCGGAGGGAGGAGGAGGCCAACGTGGTGCTGACGGGCACGGTGGAGGAGATCATGAACGTGGACCCGGTCCACCACACCTACTCCTGCAAGGTAAGGGGGGTGCCGGGGGGAACTTTCACCCCCTCCCCCCTCTCCCGACGGGCGCCGGCCGGGTTTAGGGCGCATGTGGTTCTGATTGTGTGCGCCGGGGCTTTGGGGTGTAATTAGGTATTTTTAGACTGCGGAGTCGCTCCCGCAGCTGTGTCGAGGGGGAAATCTCTCAAGGTTGCTTTTTATGGGCATTTCCCTCCGTGCCGTGATGCGGGAGCCGGTTCCCAACTTTCTCTCTGGCAGGGTTTGGGCTGCCGGGAAGGTGCTCGGAGCCGCTCGCCGCCTCTACCCCAGGGCTCCCTGTTTACTTTAGCAGCATCTTGAGTTCCTCCAGCTCGAGCTATTGTTTAACTACGAATCTGGCCTCTGGCTATGGTTTTTTTTTTTTTCCTCCCCCCCTAAGCTGAGAGACGGTGAAGTACTGAGCAACCTGAAATACCATCCGCCTGCTTGACAGAAAACGTGCTGGATGGCTTAACCCTTCCCGGGGCAGGAATCTCACTTGCAAGGACATGCTGCTACGCTGCCTTTTCCTCTTCCCTCCCCCCCGATCCTCTTTTACGCATCCATTTGATCCATCCTTAAAACAAAAAAAAAAAATAAATCCTGCGGTTCCTGCCTGTGGTTTGGTGCTAAGCAGGGCCTGGGGTGATGCTCAGCGGTGCGTTGGTGGGAGAGCTCTGCCGGGGCAGGGGAGGGCGAACTTCACGCCGCGGTGTTGCCCCGTGTTCCGGAGCATCTCTCTCAGCCGAGCAGCCTCTGCCCGCCCAGCTGGTGCCCGGTGCCTCCCGCCTGCTCTGCCCCGCGCGCGGAACAATCTGTACCTCGCAAATTAGATCACAGACCCTCCAGGCTCGAGCAGGGACCGTATGTTTGCGGAGTGTCTGGCACGTCCTGGGTGCTACGTGGAAAATTAATGAGCTGCTGCTCGCAGCCGGTGTCCTGCGGCAGCGCCGGGCACAGATGGTGGGTGGATGTGGCCACCTGAAGGCTGGGGCAGGGGTGCCACGAGGGAGGTGGTCCAGGGAGGCTGGCGATGAGGCAGAAATGCCCGTCTGAAAAACGAGGCTCTTTGCTCGCAGCGCAGCGAGGTGTCTGGCTGGTGTAAAACCATCTCGCCGCATCAGAGCGAGACCCTGGGCCAGGAAACGCCGCGATGGGAAAACCTGCTGGCTCAGCAGCTCTCTCTGCCTTTGGAAGGTGCAATCCATCCAGCCCGAGCTGGAGCAGCCAGGGAGGAAACCTGGGCTGCCCGCGGTGGCTTTATGTGAACGCAGTTGGCATTCCTTATCTCGGGAAGGGAATCTCTTGCCTTTCCCTGAGCCACCCCAGCAATGCTCGTGCTACTCACTCCAGAGTTAATGGTGGGATTTTGCTCCTGCCCATTCCTAGTGTTGTAACAGCACCTGAAAGGCCAGAACGTGCTCCCAAGATCCCCTTTCGGTCCTGGAGTCCTGTAAGAGAAAGTGAAAGGAGGAAAACCTTCTATCCTGCCTTAGATGGAAGTGCCCATCCCATCCCTGGTCAGGCTGTGACATTTAGCACCCTTCATAGGACAGTGCTCCTCAGGCCCTTTTCCTGCACATCAGCCTGCTCTGTGGCATTTTTAATGGCATTTCATAGTGTGTTTGCAGGGAAAAAAAAGCTTTGAAATGGGACTTGGGGTGTCTTAAGGACCTGAAAGCAGATAAATCTCCCCTAACTATAATGACTTGTAAATGAGTAGCTCTGCAGCAGCTGTTGGCTTGTTTCACTCCAAGATCTCCCAGAGTGTTGGAATTGCTCTGGATTCTGCTGATGCCGGGTTAGGCATGCCTGGAGTTTGATTTGGGATGGTTGTTTTGTTTTGTTGGTTTGTTTTTTGGTTTTTTTTGACATCAGACACCTGAATTCCAACAGGGCACTTTGGGCATTAAACCTGAGCTCTGCCCTCACACGGACCCTACTGCCCTGTGGGACTGGGATAAGCCCAGGAACAGAGGCTGGTGAGGAAATTCAGGTGTAATTCTTCACTGTCATTCCCTGGGGTTACCTCCAGATCCCGCAGTTATCTCCTGTCAGGTTCTTCTTTATCTGCAGAGGAGAGGCAAGGGCCAAGTGTGTGGTGGGAGTTCCCTGGGGCCCACACCCAAAATAGTGAGTGTTACTGGTGCTGGGTGGTCTGGGAGGGAGCAGGCATGTGGATATCTGCGAGTGCTGCACTGGGGTATTGTTCTTCCCAGTTAAACTCCAAACCCTCCCAGCTGAAGCCTTTGATAGATGAAGATAAGCACATTACAACTCGGGAGAAATGTGAAGTTAATGTTAGATAAACACCCATAAATAGCTATCAGCCATTCATGTGCTGGGAGAGGAGATGAAAAAGGGAAGAACAGGCTGACAGAACTCCCTGGAACTGGCTGATGTGCTGCTGCTCCGAGGGGTTTGACAAGGGAACAGGCACTCTGCTTCCCGAGCTCTTGGTGCTGCTGCTCATCCTCTGTGTTGGCCTTGTCCTTCCTGCTCTGAGCCCTCTGATGTGCCTTATTCTGGGCTGACCTGATATTTATGGAGGCAGCTCCTATTTATAGGACAAGCCCAGGTTCTATATGTGCCATAGGAAGTGTCAAAAAGGATGTGGATCCTGTTCCAGACAATGGAGCCCCTATTTTGGGGGGTAACTGTGGCTGTTCTCCAGGCTGGGGGGGATGTGGAAGTTGCTGGGGGAGGTGGGTTTGGGAGCTCCTGGGGAAAGGGCAGCTGAGAGTGACAAAAAGGGGGAGAGGGGTGGGATGTGGTCAGGGAGGGAAGGGTTGGGCAGAGTGAAGCTGATGCTGGTCTTCATCTCCCAGAACTACCAAAAATCTAATGATGACCCTTCTTCCTGCTGTCCATCCAGACATCTGCAAGAGGAGACTGCTCTAACTTCTCATCTTGCTCTACAAAACCATTTCTCGAGGCATATTCCTGGCAGGAATTTGGTAGCACTGCACAGGTGGTCCCCTTTTCCCTGTGGCACAGACCCCCCCCGTGGCATTCTGGAAAAATCCTTTTACTTTCTGAGGGCTTTTTTGCCCCACTTAAAATACACCCTTGCAAGGCTCTGCTGGGATAAAGTTATCACTGCTCTTCCTCTGCCTCCCTGTAGCTGCCAGGAGTCTTGTAAAACAGTCTTAATCCAGTGTTTTATGTCTCCCTGGCAAAGGAGTGGGTGAGTGAGTCTGCTATAGGGAAGGGACTTCTTGGGAATAGGTTACAGCCCTGTTTTCTCTCTCTCTTTCTCTTCCTTTCCTTCCCCAGTCCTCGGTGTAGCCGGTGAGTCACCGGTGACAAAGTCTTAATTGTGTGTGATGATGAATGGGATGCCCTACAGGTAATTGCTTGGTCTTTGGTGCCTTCCCATTCATTCATTATAGAGGAGAAGGGTGGGGAGAAAGCTGCTGGACTCTGATGTTGCTTGTGAGTGCTGTGGCCTGGCTCTGAAGTGTCTGACTGGAACAGCCGTGCCAATTAACTCAAATTACCATCTGCTGCAGAGCAGTGGGGTGGGCTTGAGCCTTTCTCCCCCCCTCAGCCCTAGCTGTGAAAATGCCCCACATCCACCTTTTGCAGCACCAGCCTCGGGCTGTGCTTTCTGCCTGCCTGGTGTATTTTGTATTTTTTTTTTTTTATTTGTTTTTATTATTATTTTTTTCCCTTTCCTCCCTTTTGTCTCCTTTGTATTCCTGGTTTTTCACCCCGGTTGCTCGTGCACCTCTCAGAGCGCCTTGCCCTGCGGGCGCGAGGAGGGCAGAAGAGGAGGAGGAGGAGGTGGGGGCTGAGGAAGGTGTCTTGACTTGACTGCGGGGAGAGAAGCACAACCACGGGGAGCCGAGCTGCTGGGAAACGCTGGAGAAACAGCTGGTCCCTGCTGGGGAGGCAGGAGGCTGGTGCTGGCACAGGCTGGTGCTCCTCAGGACCCTGCTCAGCCGGGGTGCCACGGCTGCGGGTGGCCCCAAAAAGGCTCTTTGAAGGGGCTGCCCCGTGTGGTGGAGCAGATGTCAGTGTGGATGGTGGGATCCCTGTCGGATCAGAGGGGAGGGAAGCTGCCTGTCCCAGCTCCCCTTGCCATCTGAGTGCTGGTGGGGTGCCATCTCTCTCTCAAGAGCGGAGCTGCTGCTGGCAGGGCTGTGCAGGTTTCTTCAGAGAACTGTGAAGTGGTTTGGGTTGGAAGGGATCTTAGAGTCATAGAATCACAAAATCCAACTCCTGGCCCTGCACAGACACCCCAACAATCCCACCCTGTCCAAACCCTCCTGGAGCTCTGGCAGCCTTGGGGCCGTGACCAAACCCTGGGGAGCCTGTTCAGTGCCCAACAACCCTCTGGGGGAAGAACCTTTCCCTGATCCCCAACCTAACCCTGCCCTGCCACAGCTCCAGCCATTCCCTTGGATCCTGTCACTGGTCAGAGCAGAGATCAGACCTGCCCCTCCTGAGGAAGTTGTAGACCTTAAAGACCATCTCATTCCAACCCCCCGTGGCTTTGAAGGCACTGCTCTCCCTGTCCCTCTCCTTCCCCCTGCCCAGCAGCTTGGATTTGGGCTGGGCAGGGCTCACATATCCTGGAGTGTGAGTTATTCCCTGAGCTCTGGTGCTGTGGAATGGCTCAGCACCCACGGGGTGCTGACTCCCCTCGGGCTGGCAGACAGATGAGTGTGAGAACACGTGGGTAACCTGTCTGCAGCAAACCTCTCCATGCCTGGGAGCAGCTAAGGCATGTGCAGCTTCCAGAGAGGAGCTGTCACAGCCCTGTTTAATACCTGGGGTGGTTTTTGAGCTCAGGCATGCAGGAGAGCAGGGCTCACCCCGGTAAATGGAGCTGTAGTTTGGATAATATATTGCTGTTTGCATCGCAGGACTTGCTGGGCTGGATGGGAGCTGAGACCCATAAATCCAGGCTTCTTCTCCAAGGAGGACAAATGTTACACCTCGAGGAGGAGGTGTGAGAAATAGGAGGATTTGAGAATGAAATACATTCTTAAACTTTGTTCTTAACCTTCATTTGTACTTGCAGAGTACAGGCAACACTAAATCTGTTCCCTTTTCCTGCTTGACAGGTGAGTCTGGCACTGAGCAGGAGGGTCTGACCCCAGCCTGCCTGCTCCTGTGGCAGTGGGAATGGCCCTGTTCCTCCAGGGAATGTCTCCCTGTAGCTACCTGCTCCTAATTGTGGCAGGGACAGCGAGCAGGACTTCGGCTCAAGATCACTGTGGACCTTGAAGCCTCTGGATCAGGACTGAGTGCCGAGCTCACTCCCCTGAAATTCTGGAGTTAGGGCTTCAAAAATGGACAGGATTGATGACAGGTCAGGAGACTTGCATTCCCCCTACCCCCAGCAGGCTTTCACCCTCCTGCTTGAACTCTGCAGTGTCAGATCTTCGCGTGTGTCTTCTGCAGTCACCGAGTGATGGGATGGAGGTGTTTGGCAAAGAGGAAGAGTCTCTCTGTCTGAAGGCTCTCACAGAAGCCTGCAGGGGAGCACAATGCACTTGAAGGGCCGTGCAGGGCAGAGGCCACTGAGCTGCAGTGGCAGAGAACTACAGAAATGGTTCGTTCTCAAGTGCGATAAAGTCTGCTCTGTGCTTTCCTCCTTGGTTGTAACAATTCTGCCCCCATTCCCAACCCCAATATCAAGCACAGAAGCTGTGGTGTGAACAGTCTGCCTCCCTGCCACCCCCAGTGTCCCCAGAGGGTGGGAGAGACCTGTCTGCCCAGCTGCCTGTGAGCATCCACCCTCTGCCCCTCTGGAATTAGGCTCTTAAAGCAGAGAGCCCCCTTATCTCTGAGCCACCACCTCCCTGGCTGCTCTGGGCTTGGCACGGGGTGCTGAAGTGCCCTTGGGGTGGGGGGAGATGATGGCAGGGTGTGATGGAGCAGCTCTGAGCCTGCCGGCCCAGGGATGCCTGTGGTCACAGCAATGCCCCTGCTCCCAGCAGCTGCCCTTGCTCTGAGCACAGACCTCGGATGAGCTGTTCCTGCTGGCTCTGCTCTGGGCCGTGTTTCCCCACCATGGAATCGCAGCAGGGGGATTTCTGACCCAGCAGGAGCGGATGGGGACGTGCCTCTGGTGTCCTGTGTGCACCAAGGTTCATTTGAGAGCTGCTGCTTCCCTCCTGGGTGGGTGTTTCTTTTGGGCAGTTTGCTGCAGAGAGGGGGATGAGCTGGCACTGGAGCACAGGGGCACTGCCCTGGAACCACTGGCACTTAGTGGCTGCTAACTCTTGTGGCCAGGACTTATTTTTATGCCTGAAGTTTGGATGAGTACAGGGAGATGGGCTCCTCCTGCCAAACCCTCTGTGCCTTTTACCAAATCCAGCTTGCCATGGTTTTATTTAGTAATTTAGAGGAACGTGAGTTAACTTTGACATTTCTGCGTGCAACATTATCCGCTCTGCCTCTGTGTTCCCAAGGTACCAGCGGCCTGTCAGAGCCACCAAACTCCCTTCTTTCCCTCCACCCAACCCACCTGCCTCCTCCTGCCCTAGTCTGAGGCTCCTGTGCTGCACTTCAGATGGACAGCACTCTCTTTAGCTCTGCAGCCCAGCTGGCACTTCCAGCCACTTAACGTTCCTTTCAAAGCCTTTTTTTTTTTCCCTTTGTTTTTTTTTCCCAATCAGAAGTGCTTTCTTCTCCCTCCATACTGAGATTTCCTCAGGAGCCAGGGAGACCTGCAGCAGAGGGCTTTTGCCCACACATTCTGTGCTTTCAGAGCCGATGAAATGATCCCTGCTGAAAAATCGAGAGCCGGGTCGGAGAGCGCCGCCCGCCAGACGCCCTCACGAGCTTCTCCTTTCTCCTTCTCCCCCCAAGGTGAGAGTCTGGCGCTACCTGAAGGGCAAGGACATCGTCACCCACGAGATCCTGCTGGACGGGGGGAACAAGGTGGTCATCGGCGGCTTCGGGGACCCGCTGATCTGCGACAACCAGGTGTCCACGGGGGACACGCGCATCTTCTTCGTCAACCCCGCCCCGCAGTACCTGTGGCCCGCCCACCGCAACGAGCTCATGCTCAACTCCAGCCTCATGAGGATCACCCTGCGCAACCTGGAGGAGGTGGAGCACTGCGTGGAAGGTGAGGCTGAGGGGCCTGGGCCGTCCCGGGGGTGATCCGGGAGCTGTCGGGCTCGGGGGGATTCGTGGATGCGGCGGAGGGTGCTCGGTGTGCTCGGCCCGGAGGAGAGGAGGCTGAGGGGGCACCTCGTTGCAGGCTGAAGCTTGCTCGTGAGGGGAAGAGGAGGGGCAGGCACTGATCTCTGCTCTGTGGCAGAACCCGAAGTTGTGCCAGGGAAAGGTTTAAGTTGGATCTCAGGAAAAAGTTTGTTCCCCAGAGGGTGGTCGGGCGCTGAACAGGCTCCCCAGGGCAGTGGGCATGGCCCCAAGGGTGCCAGAGCTCAAGATCTGTCATCTGTTTGGATGATGCCTCTCAGGCACTCCTGGAATTGGGCCTGTGCAGGGTTAAAGGTTGGTCTTGATGATCCTTGGGGGTTCTGGGATTCTGTGACCTCGTTGGTGCTGGTTGATGAGGATCAACCCTGCTGTTCGACCTGTGTCCAGGGCAGAGTCACAGAAAGTTCCAGGTTCCAGTAAGTCTGATTCATTCCTCCTATCTGCATGTTGGACAGGCAGAGGTGGAATGTGATGAAGCTGTGAAATGAAGGACACAATCCCAGAATATTCTGAGTGGGAAGGGACCACAAGGACCATCGAGTCCAGCTCTTGAGTGGATGGCCCTTGCAGGGATCAAACCCACAGCTTTGGTGTTATCAGCACCATGCTGTGACCAGCTGAGCTAATCCCAGTTCCTGGTGCTCTGGTCTGCGGACTCTTGTCATGGGGACAGTGCCTGGCAGTGACTTTGCTGTCACACAACCAGTGTCTCCCAAGCAAAGTCATTTTATGCTCATTTTACTCCAGATCTGATGCGTTTCCAGTCCTCTCTGCGTTGTGGTTGGAGCATCCCCATGGCAGGTCCTGTCCTGACAGGATGGCAGGCACTCCCCAGGGAATTTAGGCTGCTCCCACCTGAGTTAGATTCTCCCCGTGGGTTTAGAGCTAATAAGTTAACGGGTTAATGCTGTGGTGAAGGCCTGTTCTTCATCACAGCCACCCCTGGCTTCCTGTGTCTTGGAGCTTCCTTGCTTGCTTGGAGCCTTGTGGATGAACTCCTGAAGGGATCTGAGAAGCCAGACAAATTCTGCTTGGAGGTAAATCGTGCTTCTCCATGGTAAAAATAAGTTAGAACCAGTTTTAGGTATCCAGGTGTGGAGTTGTGCCTCTGTGAAAAGCAGATCTGGGGAGAATTGATCTTTTTTTCTCCCTTTTTCCTCAGCCACCTTGAAAATACTCTGTAATAACCCACTCCCTGCCTTCCCTCTTCCCCTCTTTATGCTTGTCCTGGTTCCAGCAGGAGCTCCAAGCCCAGGGGGGGAGAATGTGGTGCCCCCAAAGCCCTTTGCTGGGCTCTGAGTGTGTCCTGAGAGCAGATGAGCAAACATGGGAAGGAATGCAGGAATTCTGCACAGACAACAAATAAACAGGCGGGTTTGGCTCCCTCCTCCCCTTGGATGTGCAGCAGAGAGGCCATAACCCCTTTTTCCAGCTGTGAACGCTGACAGGGGTAAATGACCCAACTCTGGGGCTTGGGAGGGAGCTGGATCAGCAGAGGGGCTCCCAGAGTGGGGTTTGTGAGCAGGAAGAGCACTGGAGGCTTTCTAAAAAAAAAATATATATATATATAAAATATTTTATAATGAACTTGGAAGGTGTCAGCCCTGCTCCTTCCATGCACCTCGTGGGGAGGGAGGCAGGAGAAAGATGAGTGTCTGTGGTTGTTTCAGTTAAACCTGAGCAAATATTTGGGAGGTTTCTCTCTCCTGCTGGGGTTTTTAGGAGGCTCTTTTTGCACGCGCTGATGTGAGCTGGGGAGGTTCCTGTTTGTGGTGAAGGATGAAGGAGAAGAGGTTGTGTGGAGATCTCAGAGCAGCCTCCCAGGATCTGTGATTCTATTCTCTGATGTCCCTTAAGGCCAGTGGGAGATGAGGAGGGATCAAGTTTTTGTCCCAGTACCCTGAGTTTGCCGTAGAGCTGGGGCAGGTGGACATGTCTCTGATCATTCCCTCAAGTGCAGCACCACCAGAAGGGTTTTTGGTGCTGCTCCCAAGCTGTTGTGCAAGGGGGCTGGAGGTGCCAAAAGCTGGGCATGTCCCAACTCTTTCCTCTGTGCTTAAATTGCAGGTCCATAAAAATATAGGTGGCTTATCTTTATCCCCTGCTCTGTGAACCCTCCCTGGTGTCAGGCAGCAGATTGATTCTTCCTGGGACTCCCCTCTTTGAGATCCTTTGCTGCTGAGCTTATTCCTTTGATGAAGCAACCCTCCTCTTCCCCACAGCTCACCAGGCATGGCAGGTGGGCTCAGCCTGGCTGCTGTGTGTGGTTTTGGGGGCTGGAGAGGGCTGGAAAACAAAGGACAGCCTCTCCCTGCGTGGTGGATCTGATTTCTCCAGGCTGGTGGAGACCTGTCCAGGGGGTGTTGTTGAGGAAAACGAGGTGACCTTGAGTTACTGATATCTCAGGTGGGTCAAAAGTGTTGCTCAGGGTGGATGTGATTCTGATTTTGGCATCTGGCAGCTGCTTCACTTGCTTTGATAAACCCACTTTTTTTGTCGTGTCCCACGGACTTCCTGCTCTTCCCACATCTTGGTTCTTGTATATCCTGTCTGCTGAGCACTGGCAGGATTTTTGTAGAGAGCACAGACCAAATTTACCTCCAAAACTTTGTTTTCCCTTGAGCCCTGTCGAAGCTCAGGCCTCTCCTGAGGTCTGGGGAAGTCCCTTTCAGCTCACCCACTGCACCTGCCCACCTGGCTTCTGGGAAGCCCTGCAAAAAAAACCCAGGCCTGAGAACCTGCTCCTGCCACCCTGGGAACCATTTCTGAGCTCCCAGTCTGAGAATTTAGCTCCAGGACTTGTTTCCCATCAGCTCCTCACAGGAGGGTTCAAAGCAAAGCTGCCCAGGATGCTGCTCTTTGCTGCACTTTGAGCTTAAAAAACAAACCTTTGAGTGCTTTTGCAGAAAGAATTGGAGGAATGGCAGCAGCTGAGTGGAAAAACACGAATGTTTTGAGTATCTTCATCTCCTGTTGCTCCAGCTTGGAAAAATCCTAGACATCCAAGTCTTGCCTGTCTAAGAGGGGAGTTCAAACCAGGGCATCTCTGTGGAACAGCTCAGGTCAGAGCGAAAACACCGTGATTTGATTATACTTAATTGTGGTAAAAACGCTCTGACCAGCTGGAGTTGAAATTCAAGACTCCAGCTGAGCTCTGCAAACTGGCTCCAGCACTTGGGGGGGGCTCTGGAGGGGGAGTCTTCAGTGTTGAAGGGCAGAGGAGCAGCTCTGGGGCTTGCTCAGGAGTCCGGGACACAGGTTGGGACCGGGCGGAGCAGGATGTTTGCTCTGGTCCCCACCTCTGTGGGGGGGAAAGTATGGAAAGGGGACAGTGGGAGTGGATTTCCTCTTGTTCTTTGGGACATCTGCATGAGGCTTCCCAGGGAAACAATTAGCCCAGAAAGCCACAGTCTTGCAGTGTTTGTTCCTAGAGTGCTGGTGCTGCACGAGGAGGGCTGGAATGGCTGGGCAGGTACCGGAGCATCCCGACTGTCCCCTCCTTGCTCTCCCCTGCCACCATCAGCCACGCTGCTCTGCAGCTCAACAGCTGACTGACCCCGAGATATCTTTCCCCTGTGTGTGTGTGTGTGTCTCACATTTCACTTTGATCCCAACAGCACTTGAGGGAAATCAGGAATTTTGTGTGCATTGACTCCTCCCGGGGCCGTCTGGGTGGGAAGGGAGCTGGGATTAAAAACCCTTGTTAGCTCTTGGGTTAAGGAGAACCCAGAGCTCCTCCCAGGCACCGTCTGGCCGTGGCACAGTTTGCATTAGCACTGGTGGGATTGCCCTGGGTGAGCTCTGGGATGTGTGTGGGCTTGGAACCTCCCGGGAAAAGCCCGTGGGAGTTGGGTTGTAGTGGGGCCGGGTGGTGCTGGGCACAGTCAGCCCACGCTGCTGGGACTGAGGGTCCTGCTGGTGGTTTGGGGCCCTCCTCCCTGCAGCATCTTCAAGAAGCTCTTGACTCTAAACCAGTGTGATTTAGCAGTGGTTTAGTGGGTAGCAGTGACTCCAGCCCTCCTGGTGCAGGACCAGCATTCCAGGAATAAACACGGCAAGGCTCTGGCTTTTGGGGATAATTATTCCCTGAAGATGTCCTGAAGAACCTCAGCTTCGAGGTGACTTGGGTGGTTAAGCCTTTTGGCCAGGATGCATCTGCCTGTTTTGGGGGCAGTGTGTGGGTGATGCTGTGCCTCCTTGATGGGAATTATTCCAGAGCGAGAGCAAGGCTGAGCACTGACCCTCTGTGTCTCCCAAATCCCATCTGGGTTTACCTGCTGGCTTCCCAGGATGCTGACAGTGTCCATGGCTGGGGCTTCCATGAGGTTTGGTGGCTCCTCTGCTGCCTCCTCCAGCCCAGGGTTGCTCCCTCTGGGTGGGTGTCGTGCCAGGACAGTCACCTTTGGGGGGTGTATGTCACCCAGCCTGGGAAAGGAGGGGGCCAAAGTGGGGTCTTGGAGCACTGCTGTGACCACAGTGGATGGGCCTTTGGAACCCTGCTGCATGTGGATGCCCCTCACAGAGCTGCTCTGGCTCGTGTTCAGCCCGCAGTGCACTGCAGATGCTCCATATGTATAAAAAACTCACATAGTTCCTATTGAAATTCTGATTTTAGCCAGTCCAGAACTCTCCCCTGACTTTTTTTTTTTTTTTTTTTCATCTCTGCAGCAACCCTATGAATTACTCCTGTGGAAGAATTTCATCTTCCACATTGCCTCTCCTCCCAAGCTTTCTCTCATGTTTGCTGCCTTGAGAGCATCTCCCTTTCAGTTACACTCTTCATTCTGTTTTGTCTTCTGCTCTCTCACTTCTATTCTGTCTCCTCTCTTTCTCTTTAGCTCTCCACGGAACTGAGGCGTTTTGTTCTTGTAAACCAGCCCATGCAAAATTTCCTTTTCAGGCTCC